CCGCGCACTCTACCATTACACCAAACTGGCTCGCTCTCAAACAGACACCCTGTGAGGTAGGTGGGGCTGAGAGAACTCTGACACAAACTGCTCTTTCAGGAACAGCTGTGCCAGAGCTTGTGACTGACCCAAAGTCATCCAGCCAGGTGCAAGTGGAAGAGTGAGGAATCAAACCCGGTTCTCCCAGATTAAGAGTCCGCGCACTTAACCACGACACCGAACTGGCTAGGTTCACATTCTGGGTCTGCCTAGAACAAGCCCCCCCCCAATGTCGTGCCCCACCACGCATTAACGACTTTTATGGCACCCATCAAAACAGTGGGTGTCACCAGATGAGGCAACAGCCCAGCAGGAGATTGAATTTTTATACCCCCCCCCGCCCTTCACTCGGAGTCTCAGAGCGGCTTACAATCTCCTTTCCTTTCCCCTCCCCACAAGAGACACCCTGTGAGGTGGGTGGGGCTGAGAGAGCTCTCCAGAGGACTGCCCTTGAGAGAACAGCTCTGAGAGAACTTGGGACTGACCCAAGGTCACACCAGCAGCTGCAAGTGGAGGCGTGGGGAATCCCGGTTCTCCCAGATTAAACGACACCAAACGGATTGGCTGTGCAGATTAAAATAATGTTCCAGCACATGCTGCCGCCACAGTGTTTTGTTTTATTCTCTCTCACCCTTTCCCAGGACGTTTTTTTTTTAAACGACGCCTCTTGCCCTCTACTTTTGGGCTTCCTGTGGGGGTGCACATCACTGCCTCTTGCAGGGCGTTTTGTGCTTGGCTCCGCCTCCTGCGGCAGCCATTTTGTGGTTGCGCTCACCGCCCCGAGTCCAAATCCCCAAGCTGCCTTGAGGCTCAAAAAGTTTGGGGACCCCTAACCCCGGAAGTTCACCCGGGTGATGTACCTGGCTGGGTTAAGAAACTGGAACTATAAAGGCCGCTGGCGATGCCAAAGACCATCTGGCCAGAAGCCCCTAAACCCTGATGATCCATCACCACCAGTGAGTGGCCACCTTCCCGTTTCCACCTTCACACTCACCTGATTTGCGCCCGACTTGATTCTGGGGGATGATGATTTGACAGGAATTGGAGTCGTTGGTGCCTCGGATCGGGTGGCTCAAGACACAGATGACGCGGACCACCTTCCCCGCTGGGCGCACTCGGTCTGGCACGTAGCTGGGGTCGCAGATCAACTGCTTGCAGCGTGCCACCTAGGCGAGAGAGCGGGCGTCGTCAGGAGAGACACGGAACAGGCCCAACAGACCCAAAATTTCAAAAGACGTGGAAAAAACTGTATGACTGGTACAATAAAAATGCATAGTTCAAAGTAATGAAATTTTTGGAAGGATTAATCTCTCTTAGTTAAATAGAAACTATGGTAAAAAGATAAGAGTACACAGAAACTTAAACAAACCTAAAGAAACTTTTTAATATGGTAATAGAGTTATAAGAAAGTATACTGATCTCATTGTATGTTTTATGTTTGTAAGTGGTTATTTGTGATATGTTGTATGTATGTTTGTTGTGTATAATATGGAAAATAATAAAAGTGTACCTAACGGGTACTTAAAAATAAAAAAAAAAAGAAAGAAAGAGAGAGAGACACGTGTGACCCCCAGGTGGTTCTAGGAGAGAATCTAGATCAGGAGTGTCAAACACACGGCCCGGGGGCCGGATCAGGCTCCCGGAGGGCTTCTATCAGGCCCACGGTGGAACCGGCTGCCTTCTGCTTCTGCTTCCAGTTCTGCTGCTGCTGCGTCATCGTAGGTTTGCACCTTACAGATACACACCCGAGCAGCAGACTCGAGATTGCAACAGCAGGGACATTTTGATGCAATAATAATTCAGAGCAAGAGGTGTCAGGTATCGGTTAGATAAACAAAACATTGCAAGAGGGCTAATGTTTTAAGCATGTTTGCATTTTAAGGTAAAAAAACACACACCACCTTTGTGTTTGTGTCCTTTATATAGTTTATATATCTCCGGTGCCTGGCATTACGTTTTAGGGCACACGTGGCCCGGCCCGACAAGGTCTCATTTGTGGCAGATCCGGGCCTCCTAACAAATGAGTTCGACACCCCTGGCCTAGAGCTCACAAGTGGCCTACCTGGAACGGAGGCTATGCTAAAGAGAGACGGGAAGAGAACAGCTTTATTTCTGAAACAAACGGATAAATTCGGGCCCATTTGCTGGATACAGTTTTGAGGAATCCCCAGGAACAGGGAGATAGTGAGAGAGAAAGAACAAACATGAAACATTATACTGAATCAGACCATCAGGGGCAGTATTGTCTGGCAGCAATTCTCCAGGGTCTCAGGCAGAGGTCTTTCTCATCCCCTCCTGCCTGGTCCTTTTTTAACTGGAGATGCTGGAGACTGAACCTGGGACCTTCTGCAGGCCAAGCAGAGGCTCTACCACTGAGCCAGGGTCTCAGGTCAAGGTCTTCCTCATCCCCTCCTGCCTGGTCCTTTTAACTGGAGATGCCGGGGATTGAACCTGGGACGTTCTGCAGGCCAAGCAGAGGCTCTGCCACTGAGCCAGGGTCTCAGGTCAAGGTCTTCCTCATCCCCTCCTGCCTGGTCCTTTTAGCTGGAGATGCCGGGGATTGAACCTGGGACCTTCTGCATGCCAAGCAGAGGCTCTGCCACTGAGCCATGGCCCTTCCCTGAGTCAAAGACAGCTGAGAAGTAAGGCTTGCTGTACTTGGGAGCTTTCCTCAGGGGTCTGTGGAACGACACTGAGCTAACCCTCTCCCTATTAAATCAAGGCTCAAAGGGGCAACTTGGAGGATGGTGAGACGCCAAGTAGTTATCCCAGTATGTCGGGAAATAGCTAAATCAAGCTTTGGGATGAATGAATGTGTGGCTTGTGAAAGGGCACTCTTCCCTGTGACAACTGCCAGTTCACATGATTTGCACAGGAACGGAGGGCACGACGTGTGCGCGTGCATCAAGCAGCAGTAGCTTAAAGGACTGTGCTGACAGAAAATAGCTCTTTTTAAAATGTGGTGCTCTGTATAATTCGGGGACGGTCTTCTGGCCAGCATCGCTCCTGAGAGCGATGTCTGGAAGTGATCCACGACACCCTAGCTGTTTGTTATCGTGCAGGAGTAAGAGCGCCAACTGCCCGTCCTCACCTCGCCTTCCGACTTGACACCGACCACCTTGCCGCCTTCCATGACAATCTCGTCCACCGGTTTGTTGAGCATGTAGGTGCCGCCGTAGATGGCGCTGAGCCTGTGGGCAAGCGGGGCGGGAAGGGGACAGGGTAATCAGATGGTTTCCCACACCTTCGAACAGGCACAACCCTTGTGCTTCAGCCACAAAGGCCGAGTTCGGCCAACCCGACATGCGCAAGGACACTTTCCCCCAAGGCGTTCGTCCTCGAGGTACGTCCAGCTACAAATGCGCAAGAGCAGTTTGTCTTCCTTAACTGGTGCCCCATCAACAGATTCCTGAGGATTCTACTTTAAATACGATGCCCGATCAACAGCTTCCTAGAGATTCTACATTAAATATGGTACCCGATCAACAGATTCCTGGAAATTTTACATTAAATATGGTACCCAATAAACGGCTTCCTGGAGATTTTAATTTAAATACGATACCCAATAAACAGTTTCCTGACGATTTTATATTAAATATGGTACCCAATCAACAGATTCCTGGAAATTTTACATTAAGTATGGTACCCAATAAACGGCTTCCTGACGATTTTACATTAGATATGGTACCCAATAAACAGCTTCCTGGAGATTTTACATTAAATATGGTACCCGATCAACAGCTTCCTGAAGATTATACATCACATACAGTACCCGATCAACAGCTTCTTGACGATTTTACATTAAATATGGTACCCAATTAACTGCTTTCTGACGATTCTACATCAAATATGTTACCCGATCAACAGATTCTGTATAATTTTAAATGAATCAAATCGTATGCTAAAAATCTTAAGAGGTATTTCTTAGGTAAAGGTTTCCCTTGCTCGAAAGCCAGTCGAATCCGAGTCTAGGGTTGTGGTGCTGTTCTCCGTTTCCAAGCCAAAGAGCCAGCACTGTCCGAAGACGTTTCTGTGGTTATGTGGCCGGCATGACTAGACGCCGGGGCGCACGGAGCGCTGTTACCTTCCCACCAAAGCTATTTATCTCCTTGCAGTTTCTTGCTTTCAAACTGCTAGGTTGGGAGGAGCTGGAACCAGAGACGGGAGCTCACTCCGTCATGCGGTACTCGGGTCTCGAACTGCCGAACTACTGACCTTCCAGCCTGCAGTTCAGCGTTTTAACCACTTGGGGATCCCCAAATTCTTAACCTCTCATACTTCAAACACTTGTCGTTTCCCTTTCCCCACCCCTATCACCCCTTCCAAGCGACAGCTGCAAAGACATAAAAAGTACACACCATCTCAAATGCTAAATTCAGAATAAAGGATGCGCTTCTTTGCAAAAAGGTGTAGATGACTGTTTTGACCAGTCCATTAAAACTCTGAATGCCTCAGTAATGGATCTGGAGGAAGGGGGGGGGGGACCAAATGCTAGTTACAAAGTGGGAGCTACCGTTAGAGAGGAAGTACCTGGCAAAGCCTTGCGGGAGCTCCCCCAGACCGTAGAGCGGGTAGAGGTAGGGGCTTTTGCCGTAGCGGGCCAGGGATTCGCTGTACAGTTTGATGCGGTTGATGGTCTCCAAACAGGGCTGGTCCAGGTAGCTGGGAAGCAAACAGAAACGTTGACTTCACTCCCGCTCAACAGAAAAGGGGGCAGGGGGCAGGCAAAGGGGAATCGGAGGTTTCCTACGGGGCGGGTTGTGGCTCCCTCTTGCCTGCCCAAGGCAGCCAACAGTCCGTAGCCTTGTGAGCCGCCCTGAGCCTTTGGGGAGGGCGGGATATAAACCCAAAAATAAAGAAATAAATAAAAGCCCCTGATCACTGTATAACGGGACTTTCCCAAGCGCTGTGGAGGAGCTGTAGCTCAGTGGAAGAGCCTGTGCCTTGCGCGCAGAAGGTCCCAGGTTCAATTCCCGGGATCTCCAGTCTAAAAGGAGCAGGCAGGAGCTGATGGGAAAGACCCTGGAGAACCACTACCAGTCTAAGTAGAGACTGTGGCTCAGTGCTTGGCGTGCAGAAGGTCCCAGGTTCAATCCAGAAGGTCCCCAGACGTTGGTTTCCAGCTCAAAACCGCTTTAACCCGGAGGATTTTGTGACCAGGTCCCAAAGTGGTGTTTTCTCAGCTCTCCCGTTTAAAGCCGCATTCCCCCCC